GGGTGACACCCGACCTCGCTACGCCACTGTATACACGTGAAATTGTGTAAAGTTGTTGGGTCTTCATTAAATCTGTAATAAAAACCACCTCTATGTTAATTGCTACAGGATAATCTTGTTGAGATTCTCGTTGTATTGATGATAGGGTTAACTGTAGGTTTTGTTTATTTTTTAAAAAAAAACTCACTCTTTGATGCCTAAATAGTTTTAAAATGTCTTTTACATAGTCTCGCCCTTGTTCGAAATAGTTTATTTTATTTCTTTAAAAATTGGTTTTTCAATAATTGGAGCTTCCATAAAACTGTGTGTCTGAAATGTAACAATAACACAAAATGACTATGTATTAAAATCAGCAGTGATTTCTAGGCATTTTACATAAACTCTCTGCCGACTATTGTGTATTGTTTTACACGCTTATCCAGTAACGTAGAAACCCTTTTTTTTTTTAAACTGAGAATAGAGGGGTAGTTCTAGCCCCACTTACACCTCCTCTGCATACGCCACTGGGTGTATCACTTGCATGGGCTGACGATAATTTAGACATTATCTGTAAACATGCAATGTTACTTCTATATTATCTCCCTTTGTTTCAACGTTTGTCAACAGAGGGTTCAGTGCATGACCTCACGATATCCGCCATGTCTCATCTGAACTTTGACCTCACACCGATGGAGCCATGCTTGAACCTGACCCTTTTTTTTTATCTTGCAGGTGTTCGATGGGGATCATCATCATCATCTCGTTCGTCCTTGACCTAGTGTTTATTGAAGGACTGACGAGCATGGACATGGATGAGTTCGTGATGATTCTGACATTCCTGCTGCCGTGGCGAATCCTGAGGGTGTTGAACAGTGAGTGTTGGTTGTGATTACTTGGGGGTGCGGGGTGGGGTGGGGGTGGGAGGGACTGGCCAATATGGACATGGATGAGTTCGTGATGATTCTAACATTCCTGCTGCCGTGGCGAATCCTGAGGGTGTTGAACAGTGAGTGTTGGGTGTAGGTTACTTTGGGGGTGCGGGGTGGGGGTTGGGTGGTATGTTGGGATGTGACCTGACCAACATGGCTAGATGATAATGCTAACATTCCTGTTGCAGTGGGGTGCGGGGCTAGGGTGTGGGGGTGGGACTGACCCAACATAGCCAGATGAAGATTCTCACATTCCTGTTGCAGTGGCGAATTCTTAGGGTGTTGAACAGTGAGCATTGTATGTGATAACTTGGAGTGGGTGGAGGTAAACTAGCACCGACCGACATGGAGGATTGACGAGATATGGGGCCGTGGGGTTCAGGTGTGGTTGGGGGTATGGTGACGATTAGGGTTATAAGTGGTAGGATTAGAGTGTGAGGGGGGTGGTATGTGTAATGAGTAAGTTACGGGTAATGCACAGGTGATTGCTGTACGTGATAGGTGAGTTGTGGTGTGGGTTGGGGTGAGGACTTGTGGGGGTGGGGTGAGGGTATGGTGTTTGGATGAGACTCGTGGGGTGAGGGTATGGTGTTTGTATGAGACTCGTGGGGTGAGGGTATGGTGTTTGGATGATACTCGTGGGGTGGAGGGTATGGTGTTGGATGAGACTCGTGGGGTGAGGGTATGGTGTTTGTATGGACTCGTGGGGTGAGGGTATGGTGTTTGGATGAGACCTCGTGGGGTGAGGGTATGGTGTTTTGTATGAGACTCGTGGGGTGAGGGTATGGTGTTTGGATGATACTCGTGGGGTGAGGGTATGGTGTTTGGATGATACTCGTGGGGTGAGGGTATGGTGTTTGGATGATACTCGTGGGGTGGGGTGAGGGTATGGTGTTTGTATGAGACTGTGGGGGTGGGTTGAGGGTATGGTGTTTGTATGAGACTCGTGGGGGTGGGTTGAGGGTATGGTGTTTGTATGACACTAGTGGGTTGAGTGTATGAAGGGATCGGGATGAGACTTGTCAGTGTGATGTGCTGGAGAGGGTTCAGTGTTGTATAGAGATCAAGGGACAGCCAATGTATATCCCTCAAAACTGTCCCCAGGTCTTATCGTGGCTGTCCTGGACAAACAGAGACTTAACCTGAAGGATCATCTACACACAGAAGAAGAAAAATCTCCCGGACCTTGTCTGAGGTCAACACAAAAACTAGAGGTCATGCAGGTAAATGCTATTTTAATCTTTCAAGTTAGCCTGGAAACTAGAAATCATACAGGTAAACCTTCACTTAAATCTTTCAACTAAGCTTTGGAAACTGAAGCAGTAGCGTAGCGAGGGGGGGGGGGCGTGGAGGGGGGGGGGGGATATGTCCCTGGGCGCCGACCTAAGGGGGCGCCAAAATGGGTTGGAAAAATAAATTGAAAGGTCGAGGGGGGGTGCAAATCGAAATCTTGAGGGGGTGGGGGGGGGGTGCAAATCAAAAGTTTGAGGGGGGTTGCAAATCGAAAAGTTTGTCCCCGGGCGCCGGGAAGGTCGCTACGCCTCTGAACTGAAGTGATGTGACTAGAGTATTCTACAATGTTAAATGGACTGTGGCATCTTCCTCTTAATTACATACACAAACATGACAATTGTAATGTATAAATATCCCTTCTCTAGAAACCTCCCTTAGTAGCTGCAGGAAAACGACTTTTTAGACCATTTTGTGTTGTTGGCTGTGAAAGTATATCTATCCAGGTCTGGTGGTTACAGTGGAAAAATAAGATATTGTTTCCAAAATGTTATGTTGTGAAACACTTTGTCCAACTACCATATTTTTCTTGACGAGAGTCAGGTTTAAAATAAGTATTAAATAATTTAAAGGCTTGCTTTTGCTGGTTTCGTTAATTACAACATTTTATTTTTCTTATTTTTACATGTATAACACAGACATTAAATACAAATTACTTTTAAAAAATTATACGTAATGAGATAATGTGTACATTGTTTTTCATCAGAGGCACGTAGAAGTGTTACAAAACTTGTGTCAGTCTCGGGGGATTGGAGAGTACGAGGTGAAACGAGCATTAGGGGGTAAGGATGACTATGAAATTTTAAACTCTTTGATTGAATTCATTTCACGTAGATATAACAGTTCACTCATACATTCATAGCTGCAACTCCTCTGTCTTAAAATTTTGAATTACACTCAAGCATCAAATATAATCTTTGGTGAGTAAAAAAAAAGCAATTAATAAGCGTATGAAAATCGTGTAAGGGAGGGGGCAACACTGGTTACTGGGTATATTTTCTATATAATAAATTATATATATTCTTATATTTTGTCCGGTGGGGTGGGGGATCCTTGCCTGAAAGAAACTCTGGTTTACATGCCTACAATGTAGCAGATGTAAAAAAAAAAAAGAAAAAAAAAATCCAGCGAGTTTTTAAATACTGGACAACAGAATGTGTGAAAACGTAACCTTTAAATATATTTGTTGTCAAGGAGAACGTGAAGACACATTCTGCGCAGCATTTAGTAAACATTTATATAAGGCTATGGACGTTCAATTTTAATATAAGACGTGAGCATTATTTTATTTCCCGCCGTCGCACGCAATACTGCTGTAAATACTTTCCTCAGATATCTTGGTCTTGCCGCAGAATTATCGTTCCTAGTCTTGCTCCAGAATTATCGTTCCTAGTCTTGCCCTCCCCCCCCCCCCCCCCCATTTATCGTTCCTAGTCTTGCTCCAGAATTATCGTTCCTAGTCTTGCCCTCCCCCCCCCTCCCCCCCCCCCCTCCCCCCCCCCCCCCCCCCCCCATTTATCGTTCCTAGTCTTGCCGCAGAATTATCGTTCCTAGTCTTGTCCCAGTATTATCGTTCCTAGTCTTGCTCCAGAATTATCGTTCCTAGTCTTGCCCTCCCCCCCCCCCCCCATTTATCGTTCCTAGTCTTGCTCCAGAATTATCGTTACTAGTCTTGCCCCAGAATTATCGTTCCTAGTCCTTGCCCCAGAATTATCGGTCTTAGTCTTGCCCCAGAATTATCGATCTTAGTCTTGCCCAGTAGCGTACGCAGGGGGGGAGCAGGGGAGCGGCCGCTCCCCCCCTCTGGCCATTTTCAGCAAAAGTGGCGCCTTTTTGGAAACTTTTTAAACTCAAAGTTTTAAACAATAATTGTTAAAAAATATTTTTGGTCGGCACATCTATGTAAATCACAAGATTTCTTTTCATGCAGCAATTAAGCATTATTGTACTAGTCTAGTAGTGTCTACGTTTACAACACGTATTAACAGCTGCATCAGTTTGCCATTCTAAAAATAACCATTACGATGCATTGAAATTTTAAAAAATCCTCTACCGGTAGTACCACTTGGCAAGAGGGGTGTTAAGTTTAAGGCAACTGTATAATGTATTTGCTTACGAATAATTGCATTAGAAAATGTTATACACAAAACTTCACACATAATTACTTTATATATACAGTTTGAATCGTGTGATTAATTTTTTTGAAAATTACAATACAGAAACAATTAACTGATGTGACACCTCTATTTAAATTTACTTATGGGCGAACTGCGTAGCGGTGGGGATATTTTGACACGGTCAACGTCATCACGATGAAGTAGTAGTATTCTTACAGTTTGGGCGATAGTGATTACGATTACAAATTATATGAAACAGTTACAACCCCCCTCCCCCATGGACCCCTCTGTAAAAAAAAATATTGTCATAATACCACTGCTACTTATTTAAATATATTTCTGAATCAGTATACATGTGTAATATATATGTATGTTTAGAACAGTCATCTAAAAACTGACGCTATATTCACTCTGAGTTGGTTATCTCTCCCCCCCCCCCCACACCTCACCACCACAATTGTGTAGAGCGACATTAATGTCACACCTAGGTATACACTGGGTGGGATAATTGACCTAAAGTGACCGGACAGTAAAAAGGTGTGTGATTAATACAATGATCTAACCCATACCTATCACAATGTTAACAAATAATCTTTAAGGAACACAAAGAAGCAGTAGTAATTTAAAAAATATATTATCTGAACTAAAAGACCAATATTTAGTTAAATGTAGGCGGTTATTCCGAATGTTTATCTTTTTTGTTGTTGTTGTTTTGGGATTTTAAAGTCCGCTTTCAAACTTACGTTTATATCGCAGACTATTTTTGGTGATTAGTTCGTTGTTTTTGTGTATATACAGTTTGGTTTCATTTGTTTTCCTTTCATTTTTGGGTGTAGTTTTTTTATTGTGCGGGATTTGTATTTTGTTATTGGGTGAATATTATTTTATCTTTACAGCTTATTAGACTGATTCTTTGGTTTTGTGCACATATGTTTTTAACAGGCTATGCAGAGTGGATGGGGCGTCCATAGCCAGTAATGTTTTTGTTGTCAGTAATGTGTTTTTGTTTGTCTGGAAGTAGTTGACGAGTTCTTTTCTTTGATTGTTGTATGCCTTACAGTGTATTAGGTAGTGGTCTATTGTGTTTATTTCATTGCAGGTGTGGCACCATTTCTTTGTGTGAATGAAGGAGGCTGAACCTAGACGCAGCCTTGTAATTTTTTTATTAATGGGTGGCCGTTGGTCTTCTGTAACTTGCAGTCTCCCGTCGGGTGGTCGAAGGATGTTGTGGGCGTGCCTACCCTTGTCGCTTGCGTTCCATTTTTGAATCCATTCTTCTTTTATTTGTTTCTTCATTTCGGAATAGCCTATTCCCGTTTTCACAATAGCTCTGGATTCCACTCCCTTTTTAGCAGCTTTGTCGGCATTCTCGTTACCATCGAAGAGCGTGGTTTTATACCAACTCTGATTTCAAAAACTTTCATTATACTGTAATACTTTAGCATTTATGATGACGATATATTAAATTCTGATTATAGACAAAAACATTTTGTTAATACGAATAGAGTTAAATAATTTCATTACATTCTAAAGTAATTTGTTTTGACATTTATAATTCAATGTGTAGATATATACAAATTTATATTAAGAGAGTAATTATTTCCCCTATTTCACTTGTCTTAAATAATTTCCCAGGAATTATAATGTAAGAATTTTTTTTACAAGAATTACAAAACAGATTGTGTTACGTTCATTGTTTTTGGTTGTAGTGTGTGTATATTTTGTTTGCTTTTTTGTTTAGATTGATACAATTTTTGTTTTGTCGGCCTACATTGTGTGTTTTTTTTCTTATTTCTTCAGAGTGCTACTTTCAATTTATTTTACATCAAAGCGAAGTAATGACATACAGCTAGTAATTATATATATATATATATATATATATATATATATATATATATATATATATATATATATATATATATATATATATATATATATATAAAATACACGTATATAGAACGTGTTAAAAATTCGGCGCCTTTTTTTGCTCTTTTCGCTCCCCCTACAACGAAAACCTGGATACGCCTCTGGTCTTGCCCAAGAATTATCGGTCTTTTCACTAAAATCTTCAGTCTTGATCTCTCACCAGAAATCTCACTTAGCACGATACTATTTTTTTCTGTTCGACATAATAATATATTTCCCCTTCGTTTTTTGATAGTCAATAAAACAGGTTTTAAATTTATATTTTTTGGCTTCATTTTTTTTAGCGGACCTAGGAGGTGCAAAGAACGGCAGCAGTGGCGGACTAGCTAGCATGATGGCTCTCGGTAAACTCGCTTTCCAAGCCGCAGACGCCTTTGCGCCAATGACCAACGGCTACAAGAAAAACGACAACAGCACGTCTGAACTGGAGCTAACGGAAGAGTCCAACATCGCCAACAGCACGGGGGATGTTTCCGTCGACAACAACAACGTCCACACGAAACTCCAGAACGGACACGTTCACTCAGAAGAGGCTTTAGACACGGAATATTCCGAGCCGTATCCGGAAATTCTTTCGGCGCCTGCGTTAGAACATAGTTTAGAAGCGGTGACGATACACTTGAACGGGTCTGGCCCTCCAAGGGAGACCAGTCTCAACCACGATCGTACAAGCAGTTCCAGCCTGCCTAACCTAGCAGACGTTCAGTGCTATGTTATCGGCAATGAAATAATTTCAAGATTATAAGTTCTTTCACGTATAACGCTATGGTCATAATTTTTACTTAGAAAAACTCAGTAAAACTGTTGTGGGAAAATCTTTTTTTTTATGATAAAATGGTCTTTGTTTCGAACAAATTTGGAGTACATTATCAAATCAAAACAAGTCTTCCTTCGCCTACATCATTCCAAAACTTTTTCACGGGAGAAAACAAATCAAAACTTCGTCAAAGGAGAGCAGTGTAACTTCCGGCTCTATCAAACAATGTTGTGCAAGCAGCTGGACACTACTACACACTACACACTAGGCGTGTGTGAGAAGAACGACACAAATTTTGAAGCATTATCTGTTTTGCTTTTTCATGTCGGCTGTCATTATCAATCGAACTATTTTGTTTTAATTTTAATGTTTGTTTGTTTCAACAATTATGAAACGCGGACTGAAGTTCTGCTTGTGATTCGCTACTGTGAATTCTTGGTCAAAATTGAAGTTTTACCAAGTCTTGCAAATTGCATTTTTAATTTTACTTGTGATTGATGATCGTAGAATCTAATAGATCTACTAGAACTAAGATCTATGCTATATCTACGTAGATCTAGAAATCTATATGTATGTTAGCTACTATCAAGTCAAAATATAGGCCCAATGCTTTTCTAACAAAGATGTAGCAAGCCGTTTATCTAAAACTGATGTGACTTTTTAAAAATGTAAATTTTAGTTTGTTATCATGAAGGAGGGGGGGGGGGGGAGGGGGGTATTAGAATGGTACTTTTTTTATATATTACATACATCTATATTATTCTATATAATCTACATTATTGTCATTATGATGGGAGGCCTATGGAAATGGAAATACTAGATCTATGTATTATGTAACATTAATTTGGGTATGGTGAAAAAAATAGCCTATTATTGTGTTACATATTTGTACAGTTCCTAAGCAAAATCATCAATCCTTATCATCTCTTTAAATGAAGCCAACACATTGCAATTTTATTTAATAACTCAGTTTTATTTCACAGAATATTAAGTGGTCATTTTCTATTAGCCATACAAATTATATTTAAACATGAAACCCAACTCAGTTGTTATAATTAAGTTATATCTATGATTATAAAAGCAGTTCATTTATTATAATATGGGTTTAGGTAGGCTACTTATGTTAAGACAAAGTATTTAGGTTCTTTTTTGTACAATATAAAAAACTGGTACAACTAGAGTATTTAATGCTGCTTTGAAACAAAAACACAAATTACAAGAACCACTAATATACCTAACCTAAGCATAAACTTTTAACTTAAACTCCAGCCTAACCCTATAAATATGTATTCTTTCATTGTGTCTAGGTTGAAAAGACAACATCTAGTTTTAATTTGTTTTCAAATATTTTAGAACAATAGCCTTCTTGAGGATTGATTCATTTTTGTTTTAATATTTCTATTTGTTTTTTTTTTTAAATTATTAAAATGTTTTTGTTGATGATATTTAGATTTTATATATTTTTCATTTTAAAAACTATCCTATGTAAACATGTAGATATTATATGCAAAATGGATTTGTAATGTAATTTGTTGTTTCAAACTTTTACATTTTTGAAGTTGTGGTACAGCTCCACTATTATTTTCAATTAACTTTAGAACAATTCTTGTGCCAATATTCTTTTGGAATTTTTTTGTAAAATGAATTATCAACTTTGTAAATTCCATACAAATTGTAGATAGTGGTTGGGCTCTACTACTCTCACATCAGTTATTATTTTGATCAACCTTATGAGAAGATTGACAGTTTGTTTTGGTTTTGGTGTTTATAGCACAAAAAGTACAGGCAAATGGATGTGTGCTATAAACAGTTAGAGTCACATTTAGCCAGACTTATGAAATAGAGGGGTGTAGTTTTTCATGTTGTTTTTTCAACTGTCTATGCAGGTTTTTTCATTGTCCACAGAAATGTGATATCCATGTTTTTTTATTTTTAGTAGGTGACAGTTGTTTTTAATGATGTTGTTTTTTTAAAACCTTGCAAACCAAAATGTTTAAGAGATGGATAGGCGTATTTTATTTTTAAGAAACAATTGTCTCATTCAAATCTGTATGTTAGGAAACAAAAGACACAATTAGACTTCATATAAACCAAACTTATTAACTCATTGAACAAAAAAAATGTTAGCAGTTTTTTTTAAATTTTATGTTTGATGAACAAAAACTTGAAATTAACTGTAACAATAAATTTCTTTTGTAAACACAGCTTTATTAAAAAAACAAAAACGTTTCTTTTTTTATAGTTCATTCTGATACATTATGTTTTTCAAATTAAAATGATAGTTTTAAAAAAAACAACTTTCGACTCTAGTTAAAAATGCTCACACCATTTTTGCACAACTTTAAATATACTTTTTCTTTTTTAATACAAATGTTTTTAAATGTATAGATGGTTTAATAACCTACATAAAAAAATTACTCAAGATGTTAAACTTGTGTCAATAATAATTTTCACACATGTTTTTACCAATGCTAGTTTTTGGGACCATTATACATCATAATGCTTCATACACATTTCATTTAATTTCTCTTGAATTTTTCATAGCTTTTGTATTGTTCATCTGTTTTAGTTGGAGAGTTGGATTTTTTAAATATTTATAGTACCTAGCACAAAAACATTGAGCTTTGTTGTTTTAATGGTTGTCTTCTAAAGTAAAAAAAAGGATATGTATCATGGAGAAAGCTTAGAGATTTACCACATGCAAGTACAGTTGCCTTATATATGTACATATAAATGTTCAATTTTCATCCAAACTCCATAAGAAAAATGTGTTTGATAAACTGTTGACACAAAAATTTTGTAAATAGGAATTAATTGAATTTTGACAAAATTGTGGAAGAGAACTCTGTGAGTTTCCCCATTATGTGTCTACTTACCTGCCCATGGTAAACCAAATGTAAATTTCAGCATTGCATTTATTGATGTGAGTCATGTTTTAAATTTATCATATCACTGGTCTCTTATTTTTTGTTAAGTTTCAGATTTTTTTTTCTAATTTTATACCATTTTAATATCACAGTTGTTTAAATATAAAATTAATATAAGCAAAGAATAAAACAAATGAAATTTAGGTAAAGGCTAAGAGCAGTTAATCATTTCCAAAAAAAGGACCAAGCACATGATAAAATGCTTGAAGTTATCTTTCCTCATCCTCATGTGTTGAGTACCCACTTAGCAAGACTTGAAAATGCATGTATGTTAAAAATGTATTCTTCAAATGATCAATCATACCCTTGACTAAATGGTTACAGTATGATTATATATTTGCATTTATTCATAAATGATATAATTAACTTATAAATCAAAACATTCTCATTTGCCATACATAAGACTAAGTTTCTATGGTTGTTTTTCTATTATAATTATTAGCCAATTTAATCAAGAGTAATATTCTTTAGAAATGGGATTAGTCAAAGGTGTATTATCATATACATAGACACAATTATTGTATTGCAATTACTGACTAGACTAATCACTAACAGTAATTGTGCCTGTGTGGTTGTGTTTTCTTTGCGTAAATTTGTTTGTGAAGGAAGTTTTGATACCTCATTGTTACTCTCTTTCTCCTGTTCATTTCTCTTGTATTAGCTTTAAGACTTTGATTCTGCTGGGCATGGTTAAATAAGATGCAAAAAAGTGAATAGAGATGGAAAAAAGTTTTATTTAAAAATACTGAAGTCTCAGAAACAGATGAACTCTACTTCACTTGCCCCATGGACCATCAGGTTCGAAAAAGAAACTTTATTTTTAAAAAAGCAATTTATTTTTTTTTACTCATGAAATATTGGCCTATTATGTGAATAAAGGGGAAGAATCCATTATATCATGTTCTTTAAATCGGAAATCTTTTTTTTTAATAAATTTTTTTTAACCCATTTAGGCCTACAAATTGAACTGACATCTATTTAATACTGTGCATGGCTAGTATCAAAAATGTCAAGTAAACTAGATTAGTGTTTAAATCAGTTTAATAACTTCAGAAACAATATTTTAAAAAGCACAAAATAAAAGCAACAGTTGTATGAGAACTGTACTTGAAACTCATCAAAACTATAACAGTAGTTACAGTATTGCTATAATGATTTCCGAGTAGTTTTCTTAAATCTGAGTCATGTTTATGTTAAACACATGTAAATAAGAAACAGTTTAGTTCTGCAACACATTGCCGCCTTCCTGTCTTTCATACTTTGTGAAAAACCTATTACAGTAAGTCAGATTGACTTTTTAGAAATTGAATTATTTTATGTACTTTAATGACAGTGAAAAAAATAATAAATTAAATCAGAAGTATTTTTAAACAAAATTCTTGTTTAATTAACCATTAAATGTAGATCTTTTTAAAAATTACAGCCATACCTGGGCACCATTGTAAAATTTTACATTATGTGAAATATTTTTACTACCTTAAGTAATTTAAAATGTATTCAACAATAAAAGTCTGGAGCTAATTTATTTAGTACTAACATATTTTAAATTTAAACAAATTCTTTTTTTCTTCAAATATTTAAAACTAGAACCCATTATTTTGGTTTAAAAAATACTTATTTAGCCAAAAAGCATTATTTTACACTAGTCTTACATACTTGCATTTTAAAGAAAAATCCCCCCCACCCTTCCACCCCTATTATTTTGGTATTTTATGTTGTAAAAACTGACATGTTCATGTTGTTTTCTCAAACCTTGGTTTGCAAATGTGTACAGGTTTTTATTTTATGGCTACATTAGACCATTCCTGTTTTAACGGTGGAAGTTTTAAAATATTATTACTGAGATTTAAACTGTCAACAAGAGGTATCTGCATTTAAAAATTGACATTTATTTGTGGGTTTTTTTTTATGAATTTTATCTCAAACTTTAGTTTTTGTATGGAAATTATATAAAGTGTTTAAGCACAGGAACCTGATTATGAGTAAACATCATTTTAATATTATCGTGGCTTTGAAATCACTTTGAAAATGTTTACAATTCAGTGTAATATTTTTATCGAAAATTATTTTAAAAATTATTTAAAAATATATAAAAATAAACATTTTGAAATGGTTTCTGAAAAAAACATTCAAATGAAGGTTTTAAAAAAAGGTTTCAAATTTTACTGGACTTTGTCTTTAAAAAAAAGCATTTTAATTATGATAAATAACTCACCACAATCAAACTGTAATTATGTTTTGAAATGCCTTATCTTTCATGCAAAATGTAAATAGTTCCTAAACTTGTTTATCTAGTTTATTAAAGAATGAAAGATGTTTTTCTACTTTCATAACTACTTGCTAAGGAACATCTGTTTCACACTATTTGATTTTTAAATTCATTTATTTTATTTTAATTTATTGCAACCTCAGACACATGGTAACACAAAATTTTTATGTTTTCATTATTCATATAGTTCTAATTTTCATTCCTGTGAATTACAGAAAGAGACAAAGACAAAAATATCTCTTTAATCAAACTTCTGGTATACTAAATAACTTTCATTTTATTATTTAAGGCACACTTATTTTGAAACTCTAAATTTGTAATTGAGTAGACAGACTAATAATGTAAAATTACAAATTTTTAACAATTGAGAGTTATGCTTGGATGTAAATATGTACTTCTATGAACAATAGGCAAAGAAAAACATATTTTTTAATTATCAGAATACATATGGCATACTACCTACATCAGTTATAAAAGTATAAATTAAAAGATGTAAAGTTTAAGACATTTTTAAAATCTTTTTCTAGAACCATGGTATCGCTGTGTAATATTATTCCTTTGTTTCAAAATTATAAAAGTTGTTTAACCATTATCATACTATTCAAAAACATTTTTTATTTTTTTTTAACTTATAAAATGACATGCCACAAAAGATTGTGTGACTTGTTTACTTTAGTTCTAATTTAGAATCCCAAGTTGCTTGTTTAGGAAATTCTTATGTCCCTTTTCAAAGCAATGAGTTATCTTGCTTGTGTACATATCTATATATATAAAATAATGCAATTCGTGTATGGGTTTTAAACATGAAGAACGTTGGATACATTATAAATAAAAATAAATTGTTATCAATTAGACAAAAAATGTATTGATTTTTTATTTAGTGTTCAGCAAAAGCTATGTTTTTATTCACAACACAATCTTCTGAAATCACATACCGTCTCCACCTGGTTCATTCTTTAACTACAATAGACAAAACCCATCAGGTTTAGGGTTGTGGTTTGCCAGACTCTTTTCACGACGCTACTTTAGGCCTGTGAAAAAAGTTAAGTTCCCTTTCAAACCTGACGGTCTATAGGGCAAGTGAAGTAGAGTTCACTTGTTTCTGTGACCTCGGCAAATGAAGAGATAGTGTGGTCAGTACTATGTCCAGCCGCCTTTACTTTCCCTAACATGAGTTAGTTACCCATCAGAGTTGGGTGGACTCAGGGACGGTCTACTGACTTGAACCCGGATTCGAACTCGAGACTTACGGGTTAGCAGTCCATCCTAGTGGAGACTTTCTAATTATAAGCTTTTATTTAGTTTACAATGTCTTTTGTGTTTCTGTGACATATCTAACTTAATGTTAACCCTCTCATGCCACGATTTCATTCGAACTCTTCGGATACGTTCGTCTCCGATGTGATTGCAATAATGTATAAGACACTTAAAGGGGTCGGCGTGGTCTAGTCGTTACAACTAGACCACGCCAACCCCGTGGGTTCGAACTCGAGACTATTCGGGCAGATGAGGCTCGTTAGCTGGGGACAGCAACTCATCTAGGAGAGAAAACTCCAAAATCAAACAACTGCTGCCTTGTAGTTTGTTCTTTGTTGGACAAAGGCTATAGAAGCAAATCCTAAAAGAAAAGCAGGCTGAAATCAGAACCAATGACCTCAATGGCACATAGCCGGTTGACTCGTATACTTAATTAAGAACGAAGATAAAGACACTCTAAAAAATAAATAAAACAAACTTGCTTTCTTTGATAAAGTATTGGTTGCACAGAAATCGCTCACGTATTTTAGCGATCAATTAATGTCTGTAATTAAAATTACTAAGATTTTGTCCATCCAGATGCGTCACAAGTTGGGGTGACACTATCCAAAAGGCTAAGACTTATTCGAAAGAACAGCCAATTTATAGAAAGTTTGCTTTTCGTAGTTATATAGCCCTATATATATATATATATATATATATATATATATATATATATATATATATATATATATATATATAGGTGCGAAAGATTTCTTTGACGTCTCACCCGGTCTGCTGTATTCCAGCAGAGTTTGTAGGGTTCCATGACAAATGATCTCACGACAAATGATCTCAGACAAAATATCTCATGGACAAAAGATATCAGGACAAATGATAGCCTGGACAAAAATTATCTCAGACAAAATATCTCACAGTAAAATTTTTATAATATTAATATGATTTTAAGCGATTTTAACACTTTAAAACAAATTGATTGTCATTCGGTTTTTATACACTTTTTTTTTCTTACACATAATAACTGTTTTTTTCACATAGTTTTTTTTTCAAATAGTTTCTTCACATTACATTAAACATATTAAAACTAGAATTAGAAATATAAAATTCGTGAGATTAAAACTAAGATTCGATAAACAGTGTAGCTGGGCTTGCTAAACATGAGATCATCCTACCACATCAGGTTTACCAATCTAGATCAAAGGGTTACTCATTTATGGAAGGAGGGGCTATGTAAATACACCTACTGACAAGGTGGCCGCTCGCTTTGTTGGCGGGTAAATGCCCTAAAGGAGAATATGTCCGCTCTCCGTGGACAATACAACTATTATTCAAAGTCTATAGTGATATTTTACTCACACTCTGGTGATCATGTGACAAATGTTTATTTGAACGACGGAGGTCATTGCGGAGCAAAGTTAATCATAGTGTGCATGCCAACAAAGCAGTATTACTTAAAATATTTACAGGAAGCAATAAGAAATGTACAACATAAGTAATAACTTCGATGTAACAGATTCATATTTTAAAACGCGGGGCTTCAGATCTTTAAATTAAATATTTTAATTTACTTTTTTAATCTTCAAAGCAACAAATGGGCCGAACTCCTGTTTATGACAGTCTAAAAGCAGTAGGTCTATATAAAAAAACTAAATAATACGACAGCAAGAATGCAATATTTGGGAGTTAACCATTCAAGGGAAATAACTGAAACATTTTAAAGCGAAATTACAGAGCAGTTACTCCCCTTTACAGGAAAAAAACAAGCTTGGTGAAAAAAGGTTTTCGCAGTTCTATTACATTCACAATGCAAGAGCTTTTCTGATACTAAGATATTTGCACGCTAATACAAAGATATCAGTCCTGTGATACAAAGATATTGATACGTTACACAAAGATATTGGTACGGTGATACAAAGGTATTGGTACGGTGATACAAAGGTATTGGCACGCTATCGGTCATTTTAAAAAAGATGGCCTGGGTGGTCGGGAGACTATATTATAACCGCTAACTCCGAAAGTTCGAGTCGGCCTCCAGAGCAGATGAGGCTCGTTAGCTCATGAGAGTTACAATCTAGAAGAGAAAACTTCAAAATCGAACAACTGCTGCCTTGTAGTTTTTATTCTTGGATAAACAAAGGCTATGGAGGCAAATCCTAAAGGAAAAATAGGCTGAAATCGGACTCAACATGCCATTTGACGCATAACAATTGACATATTAACAAATAATACTTAATTGAGTTGACGCCTAGAGTTCACAAGCGGTTATCTTAGCACTTGGTGTTCACTGCTTGGGCGTCAAGCGTATAGTGGGTTAGGGGTACTTCTTGATTCAACGTTAAAACTGCACCAATTGCTAATTGGTTATTGATTCTTGCTTGCTACTTTGATTTGTGATAAAATCCTAGTAAATCGGCTTGTAAGTTATTTTGAACAATTTGTGATAGACTAACGTTTATAGTGTTCAATGGTACTGTTTTGACTTGTTCGAATTTAGATATAACGGTCGTCTTACATACTTTTGTGACGATGGTTTACAATGAGTGACACCCTGCTAGAAGACTTAGAGCAAATCAAACATCAACACTCAGTTCTTCGTCATGCACAAGTAGTTTTATTGAAAATAATAGATATGATTACTTTAATGTAAATTGCTGCTACCACTCAATATTTTAGAGAGAGGATGTATAGCCTACATATAAACGGTTAGTACTTGACCTGACAGATGTAGATTTCTTCTTGTTTCTACCTCTTGAAATAACTGTAAATACATAGTGCTTCCATTAATGTTAAGCAGTACAAAATACACACACAAAAAGGTGCATATCTCAAGTTTTTTGCATAATATTAAGCTTTTAAATTCATCACAATGTGTGTGCAGAGTACTTTTGTGATACGTGTACATTATCGTAACATAGTCGAAGCAAGGCAAAAAAAAATTAAATAAATAACTGAGTAGTTGTGATAATAATAATTAGATGACATGGTTTGATGAGTGTACGTAATGGTATTAGATGCATTGATGTCTAGACATAATTGTATTAGATATCTTTCTGTTCAGGTGAGGGGGATTTTTGTAATATCTACGCAGAATGATGTAGATCTAAGTTGCTTTTTTGTTTAGGCCGAGTGTAGTGTTGTTTTTACTATATTAAAAGAGTGTTGAAAGTTATTTTGATGAATAGTCGTTGTGTGTTGAAGCTAGCTGCTAGAAGCACTTAAAATGAAAACGTGTTGTATACAAAAAACATATTTATTATCTATGCTAGATATCTAATTAAAAGTTGAATAACACTATTTAAATAAAAATCCATATTCTACAAAAATTTTTTTACTTTAATGAAATTAATTTTATTTTATTTAAAAAATATGTTATTTACCTGTAGGTTGGATAGTAAGGTTGTGTGGGGTATCTTCCGTTGGGTGGGTCGTTACTAGGGAAAGGAGATATTTGCAAACTTTAGGGTACAAGTAAAGAAAACACGTTAAAGTTTATGTAAACAATGACATTTCGTAAGTAGTTATTAATACATAATTATCGATAACTTATTACGTTAGCTGACACGTTAAACATTTGCATACAATAATCTGGGGGAATGGTAAGTTATAACACGATTGCAACAAAACACTTGTGAGTAAACTTTTTAATTTTTTTTTTATTTTAAGATAAATTCATATTCCCTTGTGGAACCAGTTTTCAAGCGTCAATGTAGATACATGTATTGCGATAGTTTCTATATTTAAACTAGCAGAGCCCCAACGATGCGCTGCGCGCGGGTGGCGGTAGCACCTCCCTTGTGTATGCGGCGCATTGGTTTGAATATTCCTTCAGCGCACCCCATTTGTATCTTTTTTACCGAGAAACAAACTTTTAAAACAAAACTAGTGATTCGCATAATCTAAATCAGTCATAATTATACGGCGGTTTCTTTCTAGCGTGAACCACATATGAATAATAAATAAATAAATAAAATATTATACCAAACGTCAAAAATTAGCAATGATTTAGAGCCATTCGCGTGCTTTGAGATTTCTCCCTGTTCACTCTCTAAGGTGGGAACATTAAAACAAATAATTTCACAATGACTGCTTAAGTTCCATACCCATGCCACCTGAGCTGGTGGCTAACGTATTACCATTTTGGCTAGGAATTTTCATATCAATTGTTGAAAATATTTTGTATTATTTAGCATACTCTCCTTAATTAAAAAGTAAAATCTTTATTTTAAGTACACTGTATCTTAATTTAACCTATCACAATGTTAAGAAACAACAAGAAATATGAAAACTTAAGGCCTGAAATAGTTCAGTAGTAAACTCAATCATGTATTGTGTAATCTAGAAGCTAGTTTCTCCGCAGCCATCTTTATTTTAAAGCGAAGCAAGCTCGTGCAGTGATGCCACTGCTGACCTTTGCCCTGTCCTATGACTTAAGTTCAATTTGGCTTAGTACACGCCTATGTAAGTCTATAAAAGCTAGGCGTATTGCGACAACGTCCAGTCTTCTAGAGAAAGCATTTATGATATCTGTGAAAGCTAAACAAAATCCATCACGTTAGAAATATGTCATTTTAGCTTATTTTTACACTTTAAAATATCGCAATTTATCACATATGAAATTTATTTTAAAATCCTCTTCTGATCAGGTGACACAGCTTTGACCTATTGGGGTTTTGGACCTACGCAGATGAGCCGGAAAGCTCCACTAAAAGTGTACTTTTCTCTGATAGGGGCCCTAAGGTGCGATGTTAACGTGGGCTACTCACAAGAAGATGCTGTCTCTGTTCGCCAGCTGAGTGATACGACCCACGTTGTCTGTGTCTGTGTAAATACAGACAGTTTTAAATTATATTTCAAAAATAGGTTATACATCATATTTCATAAATATATTATAAATTATATTTCATAAACAGGTTATAATTTATATTTAATAAACAAAAAAAAACATCTATAATTCTCTTCTTGGAGACGATAGAAAACACCAAGCTGTAAGAAGCGCTCCCTACCACCCCCACCCCTATATGGTCTGGTGAGCTGTGATTCACGTTTACAATCGTAGAGCCGGGTTTAGTGACGGCTATTAGGGACAGATAATTTGCTTTGAAACGATTTTAAACTTAGGGGAGGTAACTAAGAGAAGTTTACTTTCACGGGGGATGGGGGGAAAGGAGGGGTGCGTTATCATACTTAACGAGTTACTGATAGTGTTTTAAAGCAAATAATATTTTCAGTGGCAGCGTTGGAATTCACAAATTATGAATTACTGAAAAGTAGAAAATAAACAACTTAATAGCGGCGTATGATACGCCGCGGGTCGGCTCATATATTATATTTAGAAACAGAAGGTAATACAACATATCACAATGATGTTAAAAATATAATTACAAAAGAAAATGCATTCAGATTATAATTCTGAAAAATTCTAGCGTTCTAGGTACGAAGCTACGTAATTAACTAATTGTTATATAAAGAGATCTACGGTGGATGTAAGGGATGATAATATCAAGTATAGAAAACAAGATTGCTGTATTAAATCACATATTTGGAAATTAATTGAAATGTTATTTAACAAATAAGACAAGCTATTCATCTGTATTTAATTTCAAACAGGCTTCTACTGTAGATTTTGTCTTTTGTTTTACACACTAAATTAATTTTAAAAATTAGATAAAAGCTAAATTCATTATTGACTTGTTCTCGTCTAGACGAGAGATGAGAACGTGTGTTCGGGGGGGGGGGGGGGGGGGTTAGATGTGGGAGGAGGGGATGACTCAGTGAAATACGACGCGGCATACACTTAAAATTTCTTGGAAGAAAAATACAATTTAAAACACAGTCTATAGTAACAATATGGAGCGGGTATCCGGGATAACACAATCACTTATTGTTACGGTTATCGGGGTCTATCGTTATGTAACAAGGTGTGACAAAATGGCTAAAACCACTTGCAACATCTAAAAAATTATTTAAAAAAAAAGAACCCCATACAGAACTTACATATGGTACAGTCTTTCACTTGCACCTCATACACTCCTGATGTTGCCCCTTGTACCACGTAATAACATCCGTTAAATGCGGGGAACGCTTGAGATTCAAACGGGACGTAGATAACACAGCCTGGGGTGTCTTTACAAAGCTGCATGCATGCCTAATATACATATACATATATATATATATATATATATATATATATATATATATATATATATATATATATATATATATATATATATATATATATATATATATATACACCTATACATATATGAATATAAAATAATTGCTAAATGTTTACAGTATATTATGTATATCTATATTTATCTAGATCCTCTATATATGATTTAAAATACTTGTCAATAGCTCACAGTTTCAGTGATACCAGTTCTTACTAAACCAAAGCCCTGCACCATTGCACATTGTGCTGAAACATTACAGAGTGAGATATGGGTTAAACAGGCAATTTAAGGTGACTAAACTTCAGGACACACTGCTTTTTTACTAATATGTTTAATTATCTATTATGCAAATGGTCTATAGACCTATGTTATATATATATATATATATATATATATATATATATATATATATATATATATATATATATATATATATATATATATATATATATATATATATATATATATATATATATATATTAGTATTAAATGCATAAATAAAAAACGAATATATATATATATATATATATATATATATATATATATATATATATATATATATATATATATATATACTTATATTTGTATATATCTAACCCTAACATACCCTTTGTCTGCTCCGTGAAAAGAACAATCAGCAATACGAATGTTTTACCAATCATTTTGTGAAGCTGGTGCCTATGTCTGAATTCAACAACTGAATTTTAAACGATAACTTGTAGAAAATATGTATATTGTGCTTTTTTTTAAAGAGAAATACTGTAAAAACGTATAAAGACGAACCAATATTAAAAACAATAATAGTAAAGATAATAATAATAATAATAATAATAAAATAATAATAATAATAATAATAATAATAATAATAATAATAATAATAATAATAATAATAATAATAATAATAATAATAATAATAATAATAATAATAATAATAATAATAATAATAATAATAATAATAATAATAATAATTATTATTATTATTATTATTATTATTATTATAAATAATTACGACAGTAATAATTACAATTATATTGGTAATTGTAATAATAATAATAATGATAATAATAATAAACGAGATTTTTGAGATACGAGCTGTAGAGCCAGCTAAAATGAGCTTTTATAAAAGAGCAAAATTTGAAATACAAGTAACTTGATTAGCGGGTTTAACAGTTAGTGAAAAACATATATTTTGTGATCTACAGTAAGTCAAAAGATATTAATTAGATAGTAGTAAGTTTAAATGAAGTAATTTAAAGTTTATAAACAACAATAAGAGCATTGTTTACTTGTAGTTTGTTTTTACCTGTTTAAGAAGCCGGTTTTGAGCAGTCGATGGTATTGTTATAAGCACATATGCAACTTACTAAGCTATGTGGTGTGTTCAGAAAAATATTTGCAATGATTCTCAATCAGTTTACAATAAGGGAATGAACCTAATACAGTTTAAAATTAAATACCTCTTACAATAACTGAAAACCTATTAGCCTGTTACATACTTTTCCTTTCCTGTGAGTAACAACCCCAAATAATATAATTAAAATATACAAACATAAAATTTTGAGAAAGTATCATATAAGATTATATAGCTTTTTACCCCATAATAGTAAACTATCGCAAAACCTAACATTAACGTAAACTACAGAAAAACCAATTGAAAAATATAAGAAAATGTAAATGGCCATTGTACATATACAGCAAACTCTTTATCTACTACAAAAAAAACCAACAGTACGTATTAAATGTAAGAGTAACATGCATAGAATTGCCTAAAATATTAATACCTAACTTAAAATAAGCATATAACTAAAATTCAACAATAATTGTATCCGAATGCGACATGTTTTAACTTCATGCCACGGCTACCGTTACCTTTACCGTTACCACTACCCTAACCCTAACTGATGGGTAGCTCTCAGGGGTAGGTAATGCCCTTCTAAAGTTTTTGGGTCGGGGTTTAGTCCTGGGAGGTGGGGTCATTGACAGGGGGAAATTAACCGGAGGAGCGTTTTGTCAAGATCCCTTTGGAAGCACCCCATACCCCATAGCGTAACGTTATGAACAGGGGCGTAGCGAGGGGGGGGGGCGGGGGTTGCGGACCGCACCGGGTGACACCATTTAGGGGGGTGACACCAAGGTAAAAAATAGCAAAATATATAGAGAAAAACTTGACGGGGGGGGGTGCAAATCGAAAGTTTGAGGGGGGGGGGGTGCAAATCAAAAACTTGAGGGTGTGAAATCGAAAACTTGTAAGTTTGTCCCCGGGAAGGGTCGCAACGCCTCTTGGGGGGTGACACCATTAAGTGCCGCATGACACCCGACCTCGCTACGCCACTGGTTATGAAACATCTCCTTAGGCCACAACACCTCTACATAACTGTTTAGTTTTGTATCCTCCCCCTCCCCCTCCAAACACACACAAACCACGACCAAATTAAATGTAGAAAGAATCGCGTTGTTTTAAAAACTTGTTACAGTTTTGAAAATTTATTTTGAATAAAAATAAATTATAGCGTATTTAAAAATAATTTTTAGGTAGAAAAGTTAGTAATTGCAAATGTATAAAATAAATACACTTTTATAATTCTAGGCAGATAGTGAGAAGTAGATTAGTCAATTCATGACCCTCGTTTGATACGTCTATCGTTTCTTTATTATACCCAAAGAAAATCGGATACTCACTTAAGATGACTCGTTTAATTTTTTAAAAAATATGACGTTGATACTCGATAGATTGATCATTTACAGTCGTCTATTCTTACACAAACACACCCACATACATTACAAAAATAATCATGAGTTTTTTTAATTTACAAACAGGTAAAACCAATTATAATCTTCGAATAATGAAACTAAAATTTCTGTATTTATTTTTGTGGTGCTTTATTGTAAAAAATAAAACCTTATACAAATATCAAGAGAACCTTCCATAAGAAAGTAACAAAGACAAGCAAAGAAAATACAAAACTGTAAAGCTATTTAAACTTTGCCCATACTAAAATAGTCCAATAAGATCTACAAGATATAGATAGTGAAGTCGCATTGGTGTAAAAAAAAAATAGAAAGCATGAGTTTTACTCCAGCCTGTCTTTGTATAGATCAAGTAATGGCTATAAGTAAAGTAAAAGTAAAGATTCCTCTTTTGACCTAGCGATCCACTGGGCAGATAAAGTAGACTTCATGTTTCTTGACCTCTGCATTTGAAGTGATGTTGTGGTGGGCACTATGCCCAGCCACATTTACATAATTCAGGATCATATCAGAGCTGGGTGGACTTGCTGACATCCCACAGTCACAAGTTCAAACCAAAATCCGAACTCAAGATCTATGGGCTAGTAGCCAAACGCTCTACCATTCGACCACACCCTCCATAGAATGGCTATATGTGGAAGTGATTATTTCGGGCTTGGGTGTCGAAACAAACATTGTGCTTATTTCGGCCAACTAAAGAGGCGCTTTTCTTCCGCCACTGAACCGTAAACATTTTACTTATTTCCGTCAATTGGAAGAAATGAACACACGTAGAAACTACCATAGATGCTACTTTCATCAATTCAGTTAAAAGATATTAATATTAGGGCTATGGTTAGTCTTATCTGCCAGAGAGTTCGAACACGAGACTTTTTTTTTTCGAATTTTAACAACCATGAGCTTTGCCAACCCGATCACGCCTCCAACACAATTAAGTATACGTGTCCACTGGTTATTACTCCGATTTCAGCCTGCTTTTCTTTGTCAAACCAAGTTGTTTGATTTTGACATTGTCTCTCCTAGAAGAGTGGCTCATCTGCCCGAGGGTTCGAACTAGTGGCTTTTCGGCTTAGCAACCATGAGATTTGGGGTCATCCATAAATGACGTCACGCTTTTTTGACGCTTTTTTACCCCCCCCCCCCCCCCTTTCACTCTGTCACACGTCGTCACAAAAAGCAAGACACCCCCCCCCCTAAAATGACGTCATACCTCAGCCTACAAAACCCCCTCAAAATTCCTGTTGAATTTTTGTTAAAACATCGATATTTTTCCAAAATCTTGTCAGAACTCTGTCAACAGAGTATTTTGATCAATTCCTGTTACAATCTATTAAAACCATTTTCTAAAACGCGAAATAACGGCTAAAACGTTTTCTAACATTGCTTTTTTTATAATGCAAAAAAAAGTGACGTCACACCATCTGAACCCCCCCCCTCCCCCTCGTCACACACCGTCACAAAATTACGGACCCCCCTCCCCTACGAGTGTGACGTCATTTATGGACGACCCCTTTACCGACTCGACGGACACTAGTAAAAGTGTATGTTTAGTATATAAAATCCATCACGATCGGGGGGGGGGAGGGGGGTAGACTGGAAGAGGAGACTCTGTGTAAGTATTAATTAGCTTGATTGACCAAAACACGCGCAGTTTGTATTTGAAATACAGTATACAACCTAATATTCGCTTATAAAGCACGCACCCAAAGGTTCAGCATTGAAACCTCCCCCCCCCCCCCCCCGAAGAATTGCATATGAATTATACCCCAACATTTCTCTTCGTAATGTACTCCCAAAAATTCGACTTTGAAAACACCTCAAAGATAAAAAATTTAAATCTTAAAATCTCTGAAAGACACAACCAAAGACCGCCTATAAAACTTTACTAATGGTTCGTTTTCGAAACATTACCTAGCCTTTCGCTTATTTAGATAAAACCAAAACAGATTCGAATTCACATTCTGCCCCCCCAGTAGAATTGCTTTAAAAAAATTCTTCCAAGTTTTGCCTAAGGTTATTTTTCTAGAAGGATCATCGTAAGGATAAGTTGAAGTGTCTAGTTTGTTGCATACTTTTCAAATGGCTCAAATCAGTTGTTATAACTAAAAGTAAAGGTAATACATCTTTATAATAAGTTCCTCTCCCCTACCCCTATATTCCTTAACATTTTGTGTGTTTATATGTACTGCTTTTATGTTTTTACTTTCTCGATTATACGAAGTATAGAGAAAGTCTTGTAATCGTGCAAAAAAAAAATTGAGATTTTTACAAATTTCGACGTTTTACATCTCACTGATACGGAAAAACATAATTTTGCAATCTTGTCCGTATGTCTGTGTGTCTGTCTGTGTGTCTGTCTGTGTGTGTGTGTGTGTGTAAACACGATAACTTGAGTACTGTTACAGCTAGGTTGATGAAATTTCATTTATAACTATTTTATCAAAATCGTAGATCCGTATCAACTTTCATGCAATTTCCGATAACCGGAAGTGGTACTTTTTCTACTTTGAATTTTTCAAAAGCCTATAAATTAAGTACTATTTCAGATAGATAAATGAAATTTTACATGTAAGTAAAAGATCTAATTCTCTACCTTCTGTCAAATTTTGAGTAATTTTCGTTGACCGGAAGTACTAATTTACGCTATTTCCGATTTCTCAAAAAACGCATGTAAATTTATAAAGTACTAATAATATTGCGCACTATTATGCACTTTTTTATTTGGCGTTTACTTGGTGTGCAATTCTTTGTCTACAAGATTTTATTCTATTTTTAAAACTTTAAGTATTTAAAATGGATTAAAAATCATGTCTATAGCCCGAGTTCCCATCCCCTGTTATTTTACATAAGAATATTCGAGAAAGTTTAGGGGAGATCACTCCCGTTTTATTTTAGTTATAACTGAGGGGATGAGGTTAATAATCTTTTTTTAAGATACTGTATAGTAGTCGAAATTTACAATATGTCTGAGCTGAAGTCTAGTAGACCGACTTTACAACATTTCTTAAGTACTAGGCGACCCAGTTTCCATTTCGAAAACGGTCTTTCAGCTGTACTGCACAACACAAAAGGATATCCAAGTGAATATTTTAAAATAAAATATTATTGCATGAGTTTCAGGCCCACTGCCTGACATTACTTTGGTGAAAATATTTCAAATTATTTTGTTCAGTAAAATTGTGCCAAATATTATTATATATTAAATTATATTCTAATCTAACTAACTCTATTACTAAGAAAAAAAATGTTTGAATAAAATATTAAAAACGTGAAATAGTTTGTTAATAAAATGAATATGCATTGTGTTTTAAAGATCTACTTGTTTTTGGTTTTTACTTAATAAGTTTTATTTGATACATTAAGGCTTAAATCTAGTAGATCTACATAACATTATTGTATTCTCGAATTAGAAGAACTATCAAGCGTATCCTATTTGTTATAACTGAGTCCATTGTTGATGCTAGTGGGTTATTCCCCTTGAACTGGGACAGATGTAACCCGATACGAAGACATCCCCGCCCCAACTAGAGATGTGCAGGCTAGGGGAAGTACCGATCGCCTGGTCTTTGACCTTATTCGGACCCAACTAACGT